TGTGTGTCTACTATTATTATATATATATATATATATATGTGTGTGTGTATGTGTGTGTATGTATGTGTATATGTATGTACGGATGTATATATATATATATATATATGTGTGTGTCTGTGTCTGTGTGGCTGTGTGTATTTGTATGTGTATATATATATTTATATATGTATACTTTGTGTGTGTGTGTGTTTGTGCGTGTATGTATGTTTATGGATGTGCACGTGTACGTGTATATATTTGTGTGCATTTGTGTGTTTGTTTATGTGTGTGCTTGCGTTCGTGCGTGCATGTGGGGTTATATATATAAATATATATATATACTGATAGATAGTAGCTGTATATGTGGCTGTTTTTGATTGTGATACAAGTTTGATTTGTATTTGCCCGTTGAGAAAAGCGTCTGGCATTGCTTTTGAATATAACGGCCTTTCCGTGTCCGGAATGCACAAGTCAATATTGATTCCAAGAATTAAATGCATACGTTCAGTGTATATCTCATACTTGTTGGCCGTGGGAACAATACATGGCTCCAATACACAAAACTAAAGACAGGAGTACTACCAGTATAATCTCGCGTGAGCACTTATCAGGAGTTCTTTGATATGTTGTCTTGAGCATATGCAATACTATAACCTTATCCGCATTACCCAGCAAGCACCACGATACTGTTACATGATACAGTTATAATATTGTGTTTACCACTCACTGCTCTCACACACACTCTCTCTCTCTATTGGCAGGCGAAAGATCCCAAAATCTACGAAAAGGGGACAAAGCTGTTTAAGAAACCCACCACCAAGTCAGATAAGAACGATGCGGATGACAGTGAGCTTGAGAAGGAAAAGAAGGAGAAGCCCATGACGCTGAGAGACTACGAGCGACGCGAACTGACGGAGAAGGGTGCCGAGGCCGCTTTCGGTGGTGATGAAAGTGAAGTAGATGAGGATACAGTTAAGGTAATCATGGTGAAAATTGTAATACTATTTTATATATATATATATATATATATATATATACATGTATATATATATATGTGTGTGTATAGAATGTATATATGTATATTGTATATAGTATAGTGTATA